TTGAATGGGAACGATTGCTTTGGGCAAGGTAATCGCGAACCGCAGAGGGATGCATATATGGTCGGGGACCACAATCTCAATTGCTAAACTGAGGTGAACATTAAAGGCCGTGTCACTCGACCCTCTCGGTTTAGGCAATCAGTAATTGACTTACTACCTCACTCAACTCAAAAGTCAGACGGCTTAATCACGATTAACCTATATGCTTAATTCAACACCGAGGGTTGCCCTAAATTAACCTAGTTAGGTGGCTTAAAATCTGAAGGAAAACCAACTCGATTGAGTCTCCCTTGGGAGGGGGATTTTACTATCTAAGCTAGGTTAAGGTGGCTAATTAGATTGCTAGCATCAGCATGCACAACCTAAGGGTGCTAATTAAGCACAATTATGCACAATCCTTAGGTTGTTAAGCACCAAATGCACAAACCTAAGGATGCTAAGCACAAAACATGCACAACCCTTAGGTTGCTAAGCACAAGTATGCACAATCAATCATGAAAAATACCTCAATCATTGAATTAAACAATACCCAATGACAATCATTCAATTCACATAAAAGAAACTACATGGTAGAGTTAGGGTTTCACAACATCCAAGTGAAAGGAGATCTACTCCATGCTAGAAATGGGAAAACACAAAGAGAAGAAGAGGAAACCATCTTGGAGGATGCTCCCAATCTCCTTGGCCCTTGTGTTGAGCTTTCCTTTGAGGAAATCTTCCCAAAATCCACCTTGAAGCAAAACCCTAGCCTTCTTCTTCCTTGGTTCGTGTTTCTCTCTCTAGAAATCTGAAGAAGGCTTTTCACACAAAGTGGGCTCTCCCCTCTCTCCTCCTTTCAGCTCATCATTTAAACCAGAGACGAGCTCAGTTCACGGCCGTGAACCACGAAACGCGTCCGTGAACTGCAGGCGTGCGCCAAAACACACCACTTCGATCTCTTCTATTCACGGTCAAAAGCCTTCGTTCACGGTCTTAGTGACCGTGAACTCACCTTGCGTCAGTAACCTCCATTTTGGCTCTAGACACCTCGCGATTCACGGTCAAGGGCTCTTCTTCACGGTCGTGCAAGACCGTGAACTTCCTCGGATAGCCGTGAACTGGCCCTTTTTCACCTCTTCTTGGTGCATACTCCGAGGCTGGTTTCACCTTATAAACCTTGAAACCAGGGATTACCAAACTGTGCCGTACCGGACGGTAGGACCGGAAAAGCCGGATACCGCGTCTGATCCGGAACGGTGTCTGAATCCAGCGGCTTTTCACGTGCCGGCCGATATTAACTGTGCAACCGGTATTTCGCTTCCAACCGGCCGGTTTTAATAAAACCGCCGGCATGAATCCTCTTCATATGTCGAGAGAAGTGGTGGCGGCGGAAGAACGGAGAAGGCGGGTAGGTGGTGATTTCCTCCCTGTGTACTTGGTGACGGGCATCAGCTCGGCAGTGGACTCTTTCTCACAGATCTCAGGTCTCGCCTTCTCGTCTCCCTGCTGCCGCTCTATCAAGTGGAGAAAATGAGATTGATGATTTTGGGGAAGCTGATGCAGAAAGATAAATGATGATTTTGGAGGATTTGGGGAAGGCGGAGATAAATGAGATTGATGATGACGAATTATTATTATTATTATTATATAAGATGGGTATGGGGGGTGATATTGCCGTGAGAGGATTAAGGGGGATTTTGTTGTTTTTTATTATTATTATTATTATTATTATTATTATTATTATTAGAAAGTATTCGGCAGTTAGTGGGATTATTGGATTTTTTTATGGGAGGGGGATTTTGGCTTTTGGGGTTAGTAGATTTGGAATAATGGAAGTAGTTAGTAATAAAGGTTTTAGTTGCTTAGGAATAGGATTGGTAAAGTGTGGCGGTCAATTTTGAGATATTTCTATATATTTGTATGTTGGTTTCATAGTTTAGTATAGAGAATTAATTTTAGAAAAAATATCAATTGAATTTTTGGCTTGTTCAAGTTTATCGTGAACGTCTATTTTTACATTAAAACACGAGAATCAATATCTCAAACGGCTCAGGAACGGAGGCAAAATACGTGCAATCAATGGTCTATCAGGAACATTAAGCTTGTGGTTTTGTACTAGTTTCTAAAAATATATTTGGATGATTATGAGGTTTATTAGGTATTGAAATCTCGCACTTTGTTGAATGTTACCTAAGCTTATTTATCCTTTTACAATTTCTTAGGCGGTATAATCCGGTTTTATTCCGGTATTTTCCCGGTATGGTACACTAATTTTGCCGGTACGGTTTTTTAATAAAAAAATAATTTTTTTATTCCAAAAACGGTATTTACCGGTAGGAAACGGTTGAGCCATGGTTGTACCACGATTTACCATGCCAAAGACGATTCCGGTTTGATGTCCGGTACGGTTTCGTAATCCATGCCTGAAACACACTAAAACACGAGGAACCTAGCGTAAAACCAACCTTTTAGGAGTGAAATTAGCACAAACACCTAAGTAAAACGGGGGCAAAACATGTACAATTTGGCCCGAATCAGATCTGCATCAAGAAAAACAAGACACCCAAGTGAAAAGCAAGGGTGGAAAATAAAATAAATGTTAAAGTAACAAACTTTTGACTTTCCTAATAATCTAGAAATTCCCTGGCAACGGCGCCAAAAACTTGACTCGCTAAAACACAACTCCTAACAATGGCCAAGTGTAACCAATGAAATGGACTGCAGTATAGTAGCACAAGTAATAAATATCGAATCCACGAGTCTCTAGAGTTACTATCACTCAGCTTCAGTTCATTATCTAGCAAACCAAATTAATGATTGATTTACTAAACTACTCAACTAACTAAACCAAGGCTAAACTACTAATTACAGGTTGGGAACTCACTCAGGTATGATTCTCCCTAGCTCCTCAATTAGGTCCAAGTTGGTTGTTTTACTGTTGATTAAACTGCGGAAGATCCAACAGTAGCTTGGAATATCTTAAGCTGACCAAGCCCTCTTAGACAGAATACAATATAACTTTCCACATCTTCGATCTTCATGTCTAGACTTGGGTGTTTGGAAACCAAAACTCAGCTCTCCCTCTAAAAAATCGCAGAAAACGGACTTATACCCGAGCAGGGGGCAGAAACACGGTCATGTTTCAGAGCCCGTGTTTTCAGCCCCTGCTCGTGTTTCCTCTCGGCACTAAAAACACGGGCACAAGAGGGAAAAACACGATCGTGTTTCTTCCAAGCGCTCGTAGTCTAGTCCTCTTTCTTTTCTTGACAAACTTACATGATTATTTGTCCATAAAATGAGGTAGAAATCCATACCTCCTCAGGTCATGCTCGAGTTTCTTCTCGCGAATTGCCAAATATTCTCTGATTGACTTGAAACTTGCGCCTATGCTTCACTTTACGTGCTAGGACATGAAATGTAAAAAAGGAACACAAACTAGCGTAAAATAGGCCAAAGTATGATCAAAACCAAGCTAAACAATCAAGGAAACAGGGGTAAAAATATGTACAAATACAATGTTATCAGCAGGCCGCCCTTTGCTTTGTACGTGGATTGTGTTTGTATGTATTCACCTCCTCTGAAAGAGGGAGAGAGTAAGGAAAACCAATAAGCAAAGTTTGTTTTCATGTTATTCTTGGTTTTTCTGAATACAATGCACATTTTTTCATTGACGTTCATTTTTAAGTTTGTTTTAAGATTAATCTTTACTATCATTAAGTGTATTGTGTACATATATCTGGTACATGTATTCTATTCAACATAAATTTTATAAATTATTTGCTATTTTCTAGCTCCATCAATAAAGTAATTCGAGTACTTTTCCTGAATTCATGGAAAACTTCCCAAAGAAAAATATAAACTTAAAGGGTCAAAAATACAAATGAAAGTGAGCTACTTCCATATCACATATATACTTCAAAGTTGAGTACACCCTAACAAAAGTATCAAACTCTCCCGGCCAACAGACAAGCCATGTGCTAGTAATTTATGATAAATATGTCATGCAATTTAGGCGGGAGTCGATAGCCCTGTACAGTGCAATATAAAAACATTGTATAATATTGGGAAAATTTTGGAAAATTAGTGACACTTATATATGTGTGTTTGGACGGCAAGGCAACCAAACACGAGTTTGATAGGATAGGAAGACAAGAAATTAGCTATATAGAAAAACCGGCATTATATTAGAAAGTAGTTTTAAAATAGAAGATGAGGAGGAATTTGTTTGTTAAGAGAAGCTTGAAATTGGTTGGGAAATAAAGGTGTGCAATAATAAGTGGGAACACGCCTGAGATCCTCTACGTACGTGTCTCCATCACCGTCACCATCGTGATCCTCTAGCTGCAGCTGGAGCACCGGTAAGATGTTGTGATTTAATCGTTTCATACCGTTAAAATTATCAATTGATTTAAATTTTAGTAGACGAATTTTTTGATGGGCCTACTGGTACGGTATGATTTTGGAAGCACCGGAGAATACCATGAAAAAAGTTGGCATCCTTATTAGAGAAATGTCATGCTTCATCTTCTGCTGATCGATGTTGTCTTCCGTCCGGTAAGGTTTAATTAGAAAGCTTGCTGAACAGTGAACATGACAGTTTTTTTATTTAAATGCTTAAGGGTGGTCATCAAATACAGAAAGTAGGTAGGTGGTCAAGTTTGATGCATATATTGTCGCTTTGCTTTGTCAATCAATCCATTCCTAATTAAGATCAACGGTGAAGCTGGCTGCCGATCAGATCACACCCACTCCACCACGTACCCAGATCGAAAATTAATTATATATAATTATCTCCCAAAAAACTTTAATTGCCTCCTAATTTACCTTTACTGCAATGGACAAAACCTGCTGACGGAGTTTCTAATCCTACAATTTAATACACAAACATTTACAGAAGACCACCCCAAACATGAGCACGGCGGCCTCGGCTCAGCCTCTCGGACTCGCCGGCCGGCGGCAGCGGCAGTGTGTTGGTTTTTTTTTCACATTTCACTATATACATCATGTAAACAGAAACTTATTCATTCGGGGATGCTCTGCAAATTGGGCCGCCAAGAACGCTGGTCGTGGGCCTCGAACTCATCGCTGACGGCGACGAGGCGGGCCAGAACTTGCTGGACCGAAAGCCCCTTCAAATCCACGTTCCCCAGCAGCTCCGTCAGCTGCTTCTTGCTAATCTTGATCTTCACCTCCGTCGCCTCTCCCTGCACCTTCTTCTTCTCCTGACCGAGCAGCAGATTCTCTTCTCCTTCTTCTACTTCGTCACCTGGAAACAATCCCCCTCCTCTGTTTTCTCGCATTTTGCCCACGTGCTGCCTGGCGTTGGCGAAGAACTCGTCGGAGACAGGGGAGGAGCTCCAGTCGTCGCCGCCCCACAGCATAGCTGACTCCCTCTGCAAGCAGCAGTTTCCCATTTTTCTTTTCTTGCTCTGTTTGGAAGGAAAGGTAAGGGAAGGGAAGGGAAGGCTAGAATATGGGAGAAGGTGAGGGAATATATAAAGGGTGGATAGGAAGGGAGAGGTCAAACCTAATTTTGCAGGGGAGCCACGTAGGAAGATGGGTGCGTGTGACGTGGCGAGTGATTTGGTGTTGACCTTGTCATCATTTCATTTCACCCACCATTTTTTGTTTTGTTTTTTGAAGAGGACTAATTAATTATTGGTCGATGATGATTTCCACCTCACCGTTCACTCTCCTTTTCAGTTTTTTACAATAAATTGTATCGAAAATTTGGAAGGTGTACCGAAAAAAGTTAGTAATAATGTACTTTGTATTAAAATCGCTGTTTAATTTCATTAGAATCATCTACTGTATCATTTGAGATATTTTCTATCCGAATTCGACGGAACGATACGATACGATACGATACGATACGATTTGTAAAACATAGTTTCTTTTGCAATTGCGAGCCGACGTGGTGGGTGATGATGGAGTCGGTTAAAAAAGGAGTACCGGCGGAAGGAGATATGATCGAGAGAATTAGTTGGGTGGTGTGAACGCAGATATGGGGAATCCTGGCTCCTTGATATCTATAAAGAAGAGCTGACCAAAGCAAAGGTGGTGTGAACGCAAATATACCAACGGAATCTTTGGTTTGTTCAAGCACTCACTAATATGATGATGGAGTCGTTCCACTTTGGCACCCTACACTCTCTTTTTATTTCCACGCACTTTCTCCCTCTTTTTTCAGAAATTGGATATGGGATCAAATAAATAATACCGGTATAGTACTTTTGTAGTTGATTTCGCCTTAAGAATTTGAGGGTTTTTTCTCATACAGATTTCCTTCGATAGCATATCAAAAGTATCAAGTATATATACTATCGGAGAACTAAATGGATGACCACACAACTGTAATCTAACCTGATTGTAATTAGATTGAGTGGTCAACTTGTTTTACTTGTTCGATTAATTATTTTTTGTTGCTTGTTGCCTGTATAAAATGTCAATCACATTCCCATGTAACTGCATATATTTTGAGCTTGTGATTATAATTAAGATATAAAAGAATTAAACTCTAATTTAGTATAAAGGTAGAGCAATTGTGGTTATTATTCCTTTCTCCGAAGCAGTAACTCTTCATCTAAAAGTGTTTGATCGCTCTGAAACAAGACTATATGCGCTATCACGGGTGTGGTCTAAAACATTTTTATATATCTTAAATTTAGATATGAAAATTTATAACTATGATTGTTATTGAAGCTTTTCTGTCTAAAAGGACAATATGAGGGAAAAGCTCCAAGATTTGGCACAAGAAATTTGCTTCGAGGATGACCACTAATATGAAGTTTTGTTCATCTTCTATCCACAAGTTCTTGATTTCTACAACCATGCCATGATTGACTAAAAAAATTATATATGTTCCTTCTTGATTTTTATAAATTATATAAGCGCACGCGATCCACCACACAAAAGAAACCATTTCGCAAAAATGTATCGTGATTTTGATATGAGAGTTGGTGGGAGGAAAGTATAAGTTGGCTCCTAAACCAATCAAACAACCAAACAAACAAATTATGGCCTTATATTTTTTTTCCCCCTTGGAGCCAACAAGTAGTGTCCCACTCACTCCTCTTGTGCAAGACGCTGTTCCGTCTGACCTCAACCCTACCTCATCCCTCCACCAACTTCTTCTTCAACAACATTTATACACTATGATTGTACCGTATTCATCCTGATTACTTCAATTTATACAATGATTGATTTGATTCGATTCGATTGAGAAATTTTTCTCGAGAATTTAACATATTTTCTCTTGGCACATTGAATCACTGGGAGTCTCATATAAATAAATGAATATCATTGTCAAGTTCACCATATAAAAATGATATAACAATGTCCTTAAAATGCAAATTTAATTATTCTCATATTGTCAGACTAATCAAATACCAAAAGATAGTTGCATCCACCAAAGGAGAATATGTTTCATCATAATCAATGCCAAGGTCTTGGTAGAAAAATCGTGTGCAAACATGCATGCTTTATATCTCACAGCCTCGCTCTTTTCACTATGTTTTTGCACAAAGGCCATTTACATCCCACTGGCTTCACTTCTTTAGGTGTATGGACAATAGGTCCAAAAACTTCTTGCTTCGTTAGCAATTTCAACAAGGTTGTTAAACCCTCGTCAGTTGGACAAGATTCGGTCACTTTTGGGCTCCAAAATGATCTCCAGAAACCCACGGTCTGACCACTAGAGAGGTAGAGGAAGAGATGGGGGTGGGTCATGTGAATTATGTATTCTTTTATGTGGGGTGAGTTTCTAATAGTTACATCTAAGATAAATTTTATTTCAATCATTAATTTTTAAATTACTATCTTATTTATAAAACGGTTCAAACAAGTTGGACCCCTGATCACACCATTGAACATCAAACCACTTGCTTGACTCATTCAACGACTTAAACCGAGTTGACAACCTTACATTTCAATTATGTCTCTAATGCGTCTTCCAAGTTTGACCAATTTATCACTCTTTTTTCTACATTAAGGTACAAATTGCGATTTACAATCATCAATTTTATTTATTATTTCTAGCGTTACATTGTATACAAAACAATTGTCGATGTTAAATTTTCCTCGATTCCACAGTATTTCATCCAAGACATGGATTACAACCAAAGTGTAGTTGCAAATCATTGTCAATTTGGTTGCAACCAAGTTGATTTGTATTGTATATATACTTCTTAATTAGGGTCATCAGTCATGTGAACTCAAAAGATGCGCGGATACGGTTACGTGTGTTGTGCAATTTGCCTTTGTCATTACAGTCAGTCTTATGACTCTTATCCACTAATAACATTATTATTCTGTATTAACATCACTTTCCTTATTAGGATTTCCCTCGGCAACAACAATCACTCAATCATACTAATCTACAATGATATCCGTTCAGCTTCAATGTGAAGATTAGATTAGCGTTTACTGATAATTATTTAAGCATACCAATTAGTCTTGAGACTGGATAAGTAGTACTTGAGTTAAGAGGAGTTTTGACATAATTTGAGGTTGACTTGTTAATAAATGAGTCGAGTTCGAACTAGGTTTGTTTACTAAAATCTTAAGTCGACTTGTTTACTAAAATTTTGGGTTGTGTTTGGCTCGAACTCAACTCGAGTTTGATTCATTAAGGAGCTCACGAGTTCTACTCGAGCTCACTAACAAATAGCTCGCGAGATCGGCTCGAGCTATGGTATCATATCATTTAGTTCATAATTTCAATTGTTCATATCATGTTATTTAATAGTAATTGTATCTGAGCAATTTCTGATACATAATTTTCTTTTTTAAATTATAAACTAGACATATTTAATCATGTGTTGAGCAGTGTTGGGCTTAAGGCCCATAAGAAGATAACCGGGCGGGGCCCGAAGAGGGGGCCGAACCACAGCGAGAGGCCCAAGAGTGGACATGGGGAAAGGAGAATGGCAGGCGGCCATCCTATGACGGGATAGGGAGTAGGCCGCCCGACACAAAGTACCGTTGGTGTCAGAAAGAGGAGATCTTCTTAGGATACTTACCTCGGACACTGCAGGACTAAGCATTAAATGCCCGCCGCGGGCGGTCCAGATAAAGCAAGGCGCATCTAGGCCGCCTGACATGGCATTTAATGCCTCATACTCAAGCTGGCCGACTATAAATACACTGGTATCTGCATTAATGGTAACTAAACTACACACTCTCTCTCTCTCTCTCTCTCTCTCTCTCTCTAAATATAAATAAAAACTCTTATCCTATCTCTAACTTAAGCATCGGAGGGTGTCCGGGGTGACCGCCCACGGACCCTTGTTTTGCAGGAGTTCGGAGTACACCCACCATCTGGAACAGACGCCTTGCTCGTTCTTCACAAACTGCCTGGAACATTCCAGACTCAAACAATTTGGCGCCCACTGTGGGACGAGCATAGCACTGAAGAAAGGATGGATGGGAGCTCCAACACCCCCGTCAAAGGCGTAGTAGAAAGGAGCAACTTCCGCGGCTAGGAGGCGCAGATGAGCGACATCCGTGGAATGGAAATGCCAACAGTGGAGGAAGAGATGGAAATGGAAGACCGCGTCAAAAGTCAAGGACAACAAATATCAAGCATGCAAGAGAGTTTGGGCCAAATATTGGCCATGCTCAAAGAAAAGGGAAGCGAAGCGCCAGAGAGCTCAGGAAAAGTGGGCGACCAAAGGAAAGGGAAGAGAAGAAGACCCCGACAGCCCTACTCAGACCGAAGGCGGGGAGTCTGACAAAGAAGAAGGAACAGAAGATTTCAACTTAGGATTCTTGGAGGAACATCTTAAGCCCTCGTATGGAATGGTAAAGGGTCACAACATCCACCAGAACCCATTGGCCAAAAGCATGTTTAAAACTCAGGTTCCCCCAAACTTCTCGTCACTCGGGCTGCCAACATACAACGGAAGTTCCGATCCCGCCGACCATTTGAGCGCTTTCATGCTGAAGATGCAACTCATCAACGCCACAGACGCTGATCTATGTAAGGTGTTTCCGGTCACGTTTGGCGGTCATTGCCGAACTAGGTACACCTCCCTACCCGAAGGGATAATCAAAAACTTCGAGCAGTTTGCCACCCCCTCCATCAAAGGAGGAAGTTAACCGTGTCGGCCCTCATTAATTGCAAACAGGGAGGAGAGGAGTCGCTGACGGATTTCTACGATAGGTGGAACACTATAGCCTGCGAGGTACAGGGAATCTCGCCAAGCGTGGCGGCAGGGAATCTGCGCATGTCGACGCATAGTTGCGAGCTACGAAGGGCTCTCATTAAAAAAGAGCACACCCTAAAAGAGTGGCCTGACCTAGACCGCCTAGTAAGGAAGGCAATCCTGCTGGAAGAAGCCATGATCATTGAAGACGCTTCCAAACGCGTCAACTCGAGAGA